GATTTGCATGGTTTCCTCAACTATTATTGTATGTATTAGGGCAGACTGACAGTATGTCTTTTAAACCATCATGGTGATTGTTGAAATCACTAAAAACCATGTTGCTACATAGAATACTAAATAATGTTTAATTACCTTGGATACTCTGTAATCTATCTCTTGGATTGGCTTAATTGCAAATGAGCAAGTGCACTAAATGTAAAAAGGATTGATGCACTATGAGTGCAGTTATGTCATTATGATTATCAGTTGGGTCTTGCCTATCACAGATGCTCATTGAATAAAACCTGTGAATAATGTATTCAAAAGTACACTGAGAATGCTAATCACTTCTAATTACCAGATAACAGACTCATCCTAATTTGTCTCCCTTGAAGATGAAAAACAGATTGGCCACTCATACTGTAACACACAATCACACCAATGAGCATGCTCTCTCCCATTCATGCATACATTGCCTCGCTTTTACCTCTCCTCTTGCTACATGTCAGGCTTGTGTCAATATAACGAACAGATTTGTGTCAGATATGACAGATCATGAACCCCATTAATGCAATATATACATTTGTTCAGCGTGTTTTCAACATGCTTCAAAGGGTGGTTTCCAGCTCATTCATTCAGTGACATATACACGTCTTTAGATGGAAGCAATCAGTCCACACAGCCATAAATCATTTCTACATCCATCCATCTGATAGTAAGGCCAAAGACACCACCCCCTCATGCCACACACACCCATGCTTTACTTTATACATGAAAACCCACAATCCATCGTGCAAGCTCTAATACATCTAATCTGTAAGTGTTGTTTCTCTGTGTTTTCTCTGCATACTAAAACATACATAATGTCTCTACATGCCTTTACATTCATTGTGTAATGCTGTGGTAATTGCTTTTGACTGTGAGCTATATGTCAATGTTTGTGTCTGTGCTATGTGTTGTGGAACGGCTGACATTGCTATTTGTGAGGCTACATCCAATATATGCCAATAAAATTGTTAATGAGATATACATTCATAACACAAATAAACACATTTCCACAGAGTTGACTCCTGTGGGTCACCTATGCTGTATCATGTGCACATTTCACAAGGATATGCATACAAAATAAAGGGTGGAGGGAGAACTGTCTAACAGTCTCCAAGGCAGCCCTGCGATCTTGGGATGTTTGATAGTTCACTTATGAGTTAAATGTATTAGAGTGAACTACAATAACTACTTCCTAGATATACCCCATCTACAAAAACATAATGATAGGACTGTATATGTATGCTGCTTTGGAAGCTAGTCTAAATTTGGACCTCTTGATTCTTGATTCCTTTGACAAATGTTTTCCAAATGAGTGTCTAAGACCCATTTCATTCATAATAGGGCAGCTGTATTGCTTTACCCTTTTGGCCTATATGTTCTATGAGAGGTTTATATGAAAGAGTTCTGTCATTGGATTCAACCGCATCTCTAAAAGTTCAAACCTGAGAGTAACCATTATACTGCATATTGCCATTGTCAGAACTCTTCCATAACGGTAATGTCTGTGGATTTGACCATGTCTGATTTTTCATATAATCCATGTAGATTTAGCACGAGTAGAGCAGGCACTTCCTTGTGTATCGTCATCGTTGGTACACCTAAAACAGCTGACCTCTTCTCTTTGAGGTCTGGATGGAAGTTGCCGGGCCTACTCGTTCTAACTCTACACAATGATCTGTGTCACTGTGGCTCAAAGCTCTCATATTTGTTTTTGTTTTGTTTTTATAGATAAGTACTCTGTGTTGAGGGGTGTAGCGGGCGAGGGGGAGAGAGAGAGGGGGAGAACAATTCAAAATGCCATTTAAACATCTCCCCTTTCCAGGTATATAACCACTGTGTGAATGTCTCTCTGAGGACACGACACAGACGACCTGCTTAACTGTGTGTGCTGACTGACTGCCGTGTCTCTCTTCTCGCTCACCCCCCACCCGTTTGTCTCTCCAATTGACTTCTCTCTCTCCTCAACCTTAAAATCCTTTCATCTGCCTGATCTTGTCTGTCACTCATCCCTTCTCTGTCTCCGCCCGGCTGCTGATTGTCTACCTGTGTCTCTGTTTGGCTTCTTTATTTTGTGGGGTTTTAAACTTCCCACTCAACTTGCATGCACACAAACACATTTATACGGATTACTCCATATCTCTCTCCCATAACCCTGTCTCTCTCCTCCTATCCTTTTTACACACACACACACACAAACACACACATGCACCTCACAAACTAACACCAGGCGCAGGCAGATGGCCCATCTGCCAGGCAAGCTGCTGATCCTTGCCCTCACACCACAAATGAGCGCCCTCATGCCCTGGGCGCTCAGACCCTGAACCAGAACCCTGGCATGGGCCACACCAATGCCCCCTCCACCCACTACCAGACTCCGGCATGCTGCGACATTCCTTGTGCCCTGATCGTGCAGCACTCCTACGAACACACCAACCCCTCCGAGCTCACCCCCAAAATGAGAATGACCACCTTCACCACCTCACCTCCCACCCCAAGGTTATACATACAATAGAGGATAGAAATAAATCATTGGTTAGTAACGCTTAAAGAACTGGTATAATAAAGGAGTGAAAAGGTATAAAGAGGAACAATGGACATTAAGTTGCAAGGTTCCAAATGTAGTGTTCACAGAAAAGCTTACTGCTGGATACAAAAATACCTCTTTCAAATACGTTTATACACCTGGCATGTTGCCGGTTGACTATGTGTGCAGTGATGCTTTCCTGCCTCTAGAGGGTGCTGTCCCTCTATATAGAAGCAAGTAAAGTATAATCTTGAAACCTGAAGGTTAAAGCCTTCAATTAAGTATTTACTTCATGTAACATGGAGATTTACTAAAAAGTCTAGATTACTAGATGAAGCCAAAACACAGTTTGTTGTGTAAACTTGGCTTTGTCATCCAATATAAAGTCTTTATATTGCACACAATAGATGTATATTTGAATACATTTCAGATATTCAGATACATTTAGATTTATAATTGTATTAATGTAAATATAGGTCATGATCAGGTGATCAGTGTTGACTAATTCAGTGGGCTTTATAATGTAGGAAATCTTCCTTTACAATAATATAAATGTAGTCAGGTCCTCCCCCTCTTTTCCACAGAAGCCTTCCACTTCTCCTTTCACAGTACCGTTCAGTCCTTAAATATTCCCATTAGTGTCCTTTAACTTACAGCAGACTGACCATTTGTGATTCTTTTTCATTTCCCTTCATTTCTTTGATACCAACTCTACCCTTTGGATATCCCCTCCGTTAAATGTAAAGTGTGTTTATGATAGTGTCACGACAAACACTAGCGCCCCCTCGTCCTCTCCTCCCTCCCACTGTCCCTTCCTTAGATGGCAACCAGGGGGCACCATTGCTTGTCCCCTCTCCCGTGAGCTTCATACAGTAGGTCCAGAGCCCCCTCCAGACCCCCAGACCTAAAGGACACGGTCAGTAACTCTATCTTTACCCCCAATAATGTGACTCCCTTCCTCACAAAACCCTGTGACGTTACACAAAGTGTGAACCTTAATATACACTATATTGATGTGACACCCCACTCTTCCACAGACCTAACTCTCAGACCCTTACCTTCCATAAAGCCAGAGAAGCACCTTGCCATGTGTGTGGACAATGGAAGCATTTTAGGAGTTAGTACATTTCAGCAAAGCCTTTTCCTCTCGCTATCCTCACCTCATTCATTGCGTACTCAGCTCCCTCACACCACTGTCCCCTGTAAAGGCATGCATCACCTCTCAGTGAGTGTAACCATCCTTGAATGAATATGTGAATATAGTAATTATAAGTCTTATTTAACATATACTGCAAGTTAAGGTAAAGCCTAAGTTGATGTATGCACTTTCTTTTTGAACTGTTAAGACTGTTAAATATTGTTTGATTGAAGTTTAATAATCTATCTTCTAAAATGCATTTGATAAAGGAGCCATATTGTATGTGGCCTGGAAAAACTTCACCTGAAAATGAGATGTCAATCTCAATGTGAATTTGTTGGCATGTTGGCCATGATGCAATGTTGACAATAAGCAGGACAAATACATAGGTTAGGTGAGGTATTGTTAAGCATTTGAACTGGCTTATGTAAAAGAGGTTTTATTTGTAATGTTATGTTATTGTAAGGGACAGTAGACCAAGCACAAGCCCCCTGGAATCGCAGAGCGCACAGCATGATGGTGGTGTGTTTTCTGTGTGTATTCCAGATTATCTGCACTCCCTTAAAGACCTTGTAGAAGTGTGTGTATGTTTCTCTCCTTCTATATCCTCACCACAGCTCATAGTGTGCTTCTCTTCCCTCCATCTTTGCCCTCCTCTCTTTTGCTCTCCTTGCCTCCTGTCACATTTATGGTTCCCATTGACCACCAAACTTTTTTTTAAATAACTTTATGTTGTGCCATCCCCACTTTCTCTCCTAACTCAACATGGGTCTCATTTTTAATTGTGCCAACACTTTTGTTTGGCTACATGCATGCCAACATGTCCTCACCTGCATTGGCCTTTTCTTTCTTTTACTATTTTTCTCTCTACCCATTTGTACTGGTTGATTGGCCCTTTTGCTGAATACAAATTACACCCAAACCTTTTCCATTACTTCTTTAAAAAAATACACCCTCTCTGCACGTACTCATGTTTCCTTCACTGTTCTCTCCATGTCCTTACTTTTTTTTTTGCACTATACCCTCACTCTTCCTCCACTCATTTTCACCCTCTCTCTCCCATTGCCTTCCTATCAAACTTTCCTTGAATAATCCCTCACATCCTCTTTCTTCTTTCTTTTCACTTCACCACTTCCCTCACCTTCATCTCCCACCCTTAAACACTAACCCTGGATCTTTCTCCTCAAACATCCCTTTTAAATCCTACGTTCCAATGTGTTCTTTCTAACTTCTCATTCCCTTCTTCCATTTACCATCACCACTTCCTCTTTTTCGTTCTACTACTCCCCTGCCCCTCCCCACCTGCAGGACGATAAGGAGATCGACCTGGAGCACCTACACCCGCCGGGTTAACAGCTTGTGCACCGATGATGAAAGCCCCCACAAGCAATTCTCCACCTCTTCCGTCGATTTAACGCCCCTTGACATGGATGCCCTGCCTGCAGCACGCCAGGCACTCGAGCAGATCAGCGACTTCCGCAACACCCACATCACCACTACCACCTTCATCCCAGAGCAGATCCAGACCCTCAGCCGCACCCTCTCTGCCAAAGCCGCTGCTGGATTTTCAACTGGTTTCGGTAGCGGTGGCGGCGTCCTCCAGGACCACCGGACTGGCGGGGTGGGCCCTTTTAGGCAGAGAGCCCCCAACGGTGGTTTCTTCCGGAGCCCTATTAAAACAATGTCCTCCATCCCCTACCAGTCCACAGGTCCAGGACCCAACTTTGGATATGGCAATGACCCCGACAGGGGCACCTCTATATGAGGAGTTTCTAAGGATATGGTTGGCTCAGGAGGAATAGGAGCAGAAGGAGGCGAGGTGGTTAGGGTAGGTCATGGGATGGTAGAACAAATGCATTATGGCTAAGCTAAAAAAAATCTGCTAGAGAGGTGTACATAGGAATCTTTATGTTTTTAGTTTCTGCTTGGGTGTTTCCAGGGGTGTCCAATTTTTATGTCGAGAAGACAAAAGAGGTGGAGGTCTATTTGGGCGTTCCTTATCCTCCTGCAAACATTCTGGTAAGGTGCAAAAAGGGAAGGGGGTGGGAAGGGTTGACTCTTTGCTTTGTTGTTGTTGTTCTTGTGATTGTTTGGGGGATTATTTTTAGGGATATGTGTGAAAGGGGATCTTTTTCTATTGCTTCTGTTTTACATTATGAGGACTGCCTCATGTAATGGAGATCTGCTGAAATGACCTGACTATTATGATCTAAATCCCCCTTGGAGAGTTTAGTTTACACTACTCCTACCACAGGAAACACGTATATTCCTGTGAGCTCCAGGGCTGCCATTGGTGGATGACTGGTGGTGTTGTTAGCCATTAAACAATTCTAAGCGGCTGTCACTACTAAGCAATTATTGAGTTGTTATTTTATGAAGGCGTTTATAACTATAATTTTGTCGGTAGCCCTGGGAATACATACAGCCGCCCCTTGCAGTTTTGAAAAGGCCTGATCTCCGTGAATATCGGAAGACTCCACTTCTCAACTTTTACTCTGCCTTTTCACTTTGTGGGAGTCCATACTGAGTTTTCTCTTCTCTTGCTTCACCGATACCTGGGGTTCTAAATGCGTCCAAGGTGGTGTCAATACGGTGGCCAGACTACACTGAGACGTTACAGTTGAACTCACACTGACCCCATCACGGAGCATCCATCTGAATACTGCTTAACCGCCATGACAGTGCAACAATATGACACTGAATCACCAGTTTGGTGCGTCGGTCTTTAACTATTTCTGCCATTTTGGTGCATCAGTCTGAAACTGTTTTCAACACTTTGATGCACATTGAAGACTCTTTGTCAACTCCACTGCACTGTACCAGTGCCCACAGACCTGTAAGTGATTGTATGTAGATCTGACCTTTTCTTGCACCTGTACTGTGCTCTCTGCTTTCAAAGTCAAGGTGAGATCCTCTTATCAAACTCTCAGAGGGATAATAAAAAGGGATGATACAAGAACAACTTAAAGAAGAAAAAACATAAAAGACAAGCCGAAAGACTTCCAAAAGCTTATGCTTATTATATGTCTTTTATTGAGTTTTGTTTTTGAAAAAAATAGATTTAATGCGTGGAATGTGTTTTGGTCAGGAAGTACAAAAAATAACATTGTTCTGAGCTGTCTACTTGTTTTTTTTCTCTCAGCAAACTTTGAAAAACTGCTAAATGAGTGCTGTAGTCTCTGGTTTTGCATTATTAAGTCATTCCAACTTTTACTTTTTCTTTGTTTTGCTTAAGTTAAGTGCTGCCATAGCCTGGGTGTTTAAAAGATAAAAGCTCATTATGTGAGGTCGTGTCATGTTGGAGATCATTAATCACTTTTTATCAGGTTCATGTGATGAAAGGGACTATCATTTGTGTTTTGGAGAAGCCATTGCAGCAGCATCTTCAGTACAGGCCTTATACGTATGTCAACTAGCTAGCTTTACCCTCACAGCTTCCAGTCAAAATATCACTAAAAACTGGAAACATTTTAGTGCAGCAATTCAGTCGTTGCGCTAAGGGTCATAGGAATGTCACAAAGAATCAATGCCCATCAGAACCCAGTGTCTGCCTTTTGTGAGATAAGTCAGAAATATACTTCTATTTCATATCTGTAATGTTAAGGGTACTGTTTATATAACTTGTTTTTTTTAAGTGCCAATTCATTCAAACCAGACCATTAAGGTGCATTTTGTGGCGGGGGAAGAAGAAAGGGACATTGAGATCATTAAAGGAATTTTTTGTGGATTTGGGGGTGGGGTGGTAAAATGGAACCAAATCTTTTTCACTAACACTGTATTAATAAATGATAATGTTAGTTGTTTAGAACCAGTTTTCAGTTTGTTATCTTTAAGAACTAAAACTGCAAAATGTTGTGCATAGAGAACTCAGTCGAGCCACAGTGTTTTGAAGCAAGCATTCTTAGGCATTATTTTTCTTAGGCTATTGAATGACAAATAGGACACAGACATTTCAAATGTTTTATTTAGTATAAATGAAAGAGATATTATAAAAATGTATATTTTACACGTTGATGCTATTTTTGTTTAACAAAAAGAAAAGAGTATATCATAATGAGCTATAGTATAGAGTTAAGCAGTCCCATTTGTTTCTACCTGTTCTGCCCATCATGGTCAACACAAACTATTTACTTTTATCATGTCATTCTGAGTTCATTTTTTATTTGCTGGCTAAATAACAAAAAGTGGCAAGTTGATTAAAAAGAAAGCATGCACAAACTTGCTCTTGCGCTATCTGTTAACATTTTTTATTTCATACATAGAACTACAGGATTTACTTGATAATTTTCAAAAATGTATGATGTACAGTATTTAATATAGGCCTATTTTGTTGTATGTGTTGCATATTATTCAAAAACTGAACAAACTGGGGCCTCTGTTACAAGTGGCAAAGCTTTCTGTGTATAATTTGTCTAATAAACAGGTTTTCTACAGAGGTATGGTATTTTCTTGTTTGTGGTAAGCAAGACAACGTTATACAGAAATATGGTGAATAAATCTACATCATGTCATTTATCAACACATTTGAATACCGGTAAAGATTATTTGTAATTTATCGCCTCACCTCTTGCATCCTCCAAAATCCAGAAAAGTGTCCTCACTATTTTGACTCCTCAAAGTAATGTTTTCCTTAATGCTAAATCGCTTTTGTCTTTTTCTCTGTTTGCTTCAAACGTCTACATTTTCTGAAAACAAGCATTCAAATATAGAGGCACCTCACTAAAGAGCAACTTTCCACCTTTCAAATAAGTGTGTAGTCAATGTGGATCAAAGATTCCAGACGACATAACATCTTCCCTTTCTAGATAAAGTGGCAAAGTTTGTCCTCTCCTCAGCTTTCTGATTCCAGCGCATGTGACTCGTCTACTCTCTTAGATATGGTAACCAACTCTGCACAAGTCACATCTTACCGGTAAGTTGATCCAGATAAGGTAGTCTTGCTTTTATCAAAAGGTTCAAAGGTGATTCTCCTTTATTCTCTCTTTTGACATTATTTTAATAATAAGCAATAAAAGGCAAGTTCTTTCTAAAATGGATTGATACATGTATGTCATTTAATTATTGCAAGTTGGTTGTAGTATCCTGCTTATAGCTTCAACATTAAACCTAATAGAATTCGGACAAAGGGTAAAAGTGAAATTACAAAAAACAACCATAACAATTTAAATGTTTGGGTTTTTTTGCGATATGCGATGATCTGATGCGTGGAATATATTTTAAGATCAAGATCAAGCATGAGCAAAGCCTTTGTGTCTTTCACTTCAAATGGCCCATCACTTCAAAGTCCTGTGTACTGCTGTTAACAGCTGGATAGACACACTGCTGCGGACCAATGCTGTCAAGTTCAGTGGAGCACTACATTGAAGTTCTCCAGTTTAACCAGTTGGTGCCACTATTTAGCCCTTCCCCCTTGTCTTAGACCTCAAGTCTCTGTTTATGCTTTTCCTCAAGATAAATGACAGATATTGAAAATGAATGGAAGGAATAAATGTAACAGATATTGATGGTGCTTATAATTTCACTTGACACATTATGTGATAACCAACTTGATATCGTGCAAGATATTGTCTTCTTATTGTACAAGGCAGAGAAAAATCAGAGTCAGCATAATTATCATTATCTGTAATTCTATGAAGAGTAAACCCAAAGTCCTCATGCTCTCCTTTTTTTTTGTTAAAAGTGTATGCATTCAACATGTTTGATAGGATATAAACAACTTGGACGTGGAATAAATGAATATTTTTACTAAAAAGATTGAATACAACACTGGACACATTCAAAACAAAATGTCCCGAATGCATAATTGTAATTAATTCACATAAAGGCCTTCAATTAGGCTACTATCTAAAATGTATGCACGTATGCAAATGATAATGCTAATTAGCATTATAAGATTGCTTTGTTGAGGAGATGTTAAGTTGAATTAATATTTGAGTCATGGTAACACATATTTCTTAAGTTGATTACAGGGCTTTAAGTAAAGTAAAAAAAAAACGTACAAAGTACTTTGTTACTTTTCAATAGTACTTTTTCAGGTATTTCTAGGAAAACGTAAAAGTATGTAGAAAGTTTCCTTAGGTGTGGCAAACTTTTGAGCTTCGAAATAAAAAAATATGTCCTAGCATTTCTACAAAAACAATACCATTTAGGCTAAGGCTAAGGGCTTCAGTTAAATGTTGAAATCTCTGTCCAGCTCCTCTGACTCCGGTCTCGTGCCCGTCGCGCCCCTGTCTCCCGGGAGATGGGAATGAGAAGCGGCAGCACGCAGACTCCTCTCGCGCATTGGAATGGGAGCCTCCCTCCCTTCTCCCTCGAGGAGCCCCCCAGGCGTGACCAATGGAACATAGAGTCTCCATTGTGGCTCCGACACTTTAATAATCGCCAGCTACAATATCCAACCTGTCGGTAGCTTCAGGAGCCCGGCCCGGCCCGTTGGATGGGGGCTTGTAGGTGGGAAGAGGGGGCGAACGCTCGGCGCCAGACCTCTAGCCCGCAAGACGTCCCCATGATGAATACATGAATAAAAAATACAAAAGATTGATGTCGGGTTATCTCTGGAATTATGGGATTTAGTCCCACAATTTCTAGCTCGTCTAAAGCAGCATTGTCTTTAAAGAATGAACCCCACATGTCTATCACAGCTTAGCAGTGTATGTCTTTGAATATAAATGTTTTTTTTTAAATGTAGTCTTATCCTGCTGCTATAACATTTTCGTGCATTGCATTTTGCAATTAGGCTACTTCATTTAATGTTGTGATAAGTTGGACTGGGCAGCAACAGGTACCATCCCTTGGTCATTGTGGCTCATACGCCATGTATCTCTATCCCTAAATCCACCGTGTCAATTAGGTGAAACTGCCCATTTCCACCCAGTAATTAGCACATTGTTTATTTTTAAGGTTAGTCTTAATGTTTGGGTCTCTGTAAACATGGTCCCTTTGATCAGTATTGGTTACTAAAACAGCTTCAATGTGTCCAGAGTTTTTCTTGCCAAGCTGGCTACGATATTCCCTTTTATCTTGTGTGCACCCCTTTTTTTGAATAATTAATAGTGAATATCGGAAATAATATGTGTCTCATCTAAACATCGTGTTTTGTCTGTGCGAGTATTTGCGTCTGTGCTGTGCGCGTGCGTGTACATCTCGCTGATTGCCGTTGCAACCGTGCGCTGCGCCACATACAGCTCAGTGTTGAGCGCGAGCCCCCTGCTCACGTTTCCATTGTGAAGCCCTTTTTACTGGCAGGGCGTTGCGAGAGCTGGATCAAACGGTTTTAGATCCGCGAAAAAATAAAAATGGAAACTGGAGATGATCTGAGAATGAATGAATTGACAGTGAGTGCGCGAGCCCCAAAGTTTTATCTGACTGTTGATCAAGCAATTTAGCCCAAGCTCTTTTTGGACAGGCTTTTCTCCCTCAACTTTGTTAGTTCCAACACATGAAATAACGTTATTCATTCAAATTGGACACATACTGAGATGAAGCATAATTATTTGAACTGATTAGGGGGCACATTTATTATGTTAGATTCCTTTGTCTCAACGAATATGTGATGCCTTCTTTGTTGACTCAAACTTTGGAGTTGGGGTTACAGTAAATATGGGATGCAAAATTAAATGCAGCCTTTACGCCAGACAGTGAAGAGAAACATGTTAGACAGTTAACGATAGTAAATTAACCCTTTTCAACCTCTCTCCTCACTCTTTTTCCTCCCCCTTACTCATGCACACGCAGGTAATAGGCTAATTATGTCCAAGCTGTGAATCTCGCGTCGCGTGGACCACGCTTCTTACCTAAAACCGTCACCGCATGCACGTGCGTCCTGTGGGAGGTTCCCCTTACCTCCCTCGCGTTAAACACTCCTTAATTGTAATGTTATCATAAACATTCCGGCTTCGGGGGCCATAATCACCTCTCTCGGGCCTTACCGAGACTTCTCATTGGACGTCAACACGCGACCAGCGCGAGGAGGGGGGCTCCCAGGCGCGTGCCGCTTTTTAAACGGACGCCGCGCCTTGAGACATCAGAGAAGGAGTCCCGCACGCGACAGTCATACTCACAAAGTGCGACAGGAAAGCAGTGGGTGCCTCCAAAAAACGTATATAGATTCAGTCGGGTAAACTTTTCCTACTTTTCGGGTTCGTTTAGAAACATGGATGTCCTAAGCGTGGAAGACTGGAACAGAGGCGCACAGGAGGTGGCAGCCATCCACGCGCGGCTGCAGAGCCTGAAACCTGCGGAGAGGATTGGGGAGCAGCAGCGCGAGGAGTCCCGCTATGAACCTGGACAGACGCTCGTAGACAGCGGGAGTGACCCACGCGCCTGGCTGGCTCCGGTGCAGCCCTCTGGCACCTGTGTGGCACACGCCACTTCACCCGACTACCTGCGGCACTCGCCCTGCCCCAGCACCGGCTCCTACCAAGGTGAGAAACATTGCTAATAGTGTCCATTTTGGACCACATTTCAAACATTTACATTACCTGCAATTCAACACCACATGCAACAGGCATCTGGGATTTGCAGTGGGTTATAGTTATGGGTCTCAAATAGGCAGAATTATAATTCATTTTCTTAACAGTCAGCTTGAATGTCGTTATTTCAACAACCATAGTCAAAAGGTTTTGTATTTATTATAAATTAATCAAACCGGACCAGTTCAGTACATTTTTGTTTCTTTATTTTTCAGAGAGTGGTTCCCCGGATTCCAGTCCTCCCAGTTGCAGGAGAACTGCGAAGAGCCCCTCCTCTTCTTCGCTCAAAGTCAGGGACTTGTGCGGTCTTCAAGGCACGGCCACCGGTTCCGATGACGAAACATCCACGACACAGAGAGCCCAGTCCAGCAGACCTCACAACGGAGTCCAGAAGCAGAGGCGCGTGGCCGCAAACGCACGCGAAAGGAGACGGATGCACGGGCTTAACTACGCGTTTGACGAGCTGCGCAGCGTCATACCGGCGTTTGACAACGACAAGAAGCTCTCAAAATATGAAACTTTACAGATGGCGCAGATTTACATCAACGCACTGGCGGATCTGCTCGAAGCTCCAGTCTCCTCAAAAAAAAGCAGTAACGACGTCTCAAACAACAGCAACAACTCGCCAAAGTGTGACGCTGTGCTTCCAGCCACCGGTAGTATTGACGGAGCGAAGGACAGGGCTTCCCCGTCCCCTACCACTTGTAGGACGGCAGCGGCTGTCCACATTAGCGGGATGCCTTTCCGCCCCACCTTCGACGACGAATCGTTCTCCGCTATTGAAGAAGCAATGCGTTCACCCTCTCCTCCTTCTTCCACCCGGGCAGCCAGTTCCCTTGCACCAGTCGGAGGTGGGAGGAAAGATTCTCCCAGAAGCGACGGAGAGTTTTCCCCGCACTCCCACTTCAGTGACTCGGATGAAATAGCGATGGAGCTCCACTCAAGTGAAGAAGATGACCTCTCAGAACTCAAGCTAACGCACCACCACCACCATCATCATCAACACACTGTTGCTTACTAAAAGAATAATAATAACACATAATATTATTAAAAACAACAGACTGTATTAGTCTCAACATAGGCCTACATCAAAAATAATGGCCGTAGTGTCAATAATACAGTCTTTATGTTGCTAACAAAATGCAGTTTTAACATGGAAGTTTTGGCTTTTTCAAAGAAAATCATGTTACATTTTTAACAATATCCTTATTCATTTTTGATCAATTTGTAACATAGTCTTAATCTAATTTTTGTTGTGTGAGATAGGCCTAATTCGGTTCTGCCAATAGCTGTCTAGCCCATAATTTCCAGTTTCCATGGAGACGTGGCTGGAAGACCCCTCTGCCATGTATCGCTCAGCACAGCCATGGGCATTTCCCACGTCACTCCGACTGAAAGCTGTATTCCACGAATCATGACTCAATGGATTATAATTTACAAAAAATAACATTTTGTAGCTTAAATATGATTTTGATATTTTATGTTTGTATTTGTTAATTTTTAAGTATAATGTATTTCCTTTTGCAACTTTAAAAGTTTATAATGTGCACTTTAAAAATATACAAGCCGGAGGCTTGATAAATGCGAGTTTTGTTTTCAAACCATGAACAATATTTTTGTTTTGTTTGCTACTTTAGTAGCATACTGCCAATTCCATACAAATAGCCTATTTAATGTAGCCATCAATGCTGCCTTCTTTTGTATTTTCAGATCAACCTGTGTGTCTTTTGCTTTCACTGGATGAGATTAATTGACATGTATTTATTGCTGATATTTTGTTTTTTATTTGCTTTTTATAACTCCATAGTTACAGGAAGAGCTATAATTTTGCCATTTACTATGTTATTTTGATTTTGGAAATAAAAAAGCAAACGAAAACATGTTTCTCTCTGTGTGTTGTTTCCACGAACCTCCTAATCACAACTATAACTCTATTATCAACTATTGATTTTAAAATACATTTATATTTTTATAGGCCTATCTCCATTTAATTTTCACCAAGATAAAAGAAATACAAAAATAAGACAGTTATAATATTTAATATCATAGTATGAGTATTATTGGTTGAAGGGAATGTTTGTAAATTCAATATTGACTATATTAGAGCTTGTTAGAAACCGAACCGGTTACATATATTACATTGACCAATAATAATAATAATAATAAGGTACATTTTATAATTAGAGAAATACAAACTATATGTAAACACAAACGGCTCAGAAAAAAAATAAGAGACTACTGCAAAATAATCAGTTTCTCTGGTTTTACTGTATGTGTTTGAGTAAAATGATTGTTATTTTTATTTTATTCTATAATATACTGACAATATGTGTGTTGGAATTCAACAGACACTGGAATGGAATGGCTGCCATATACACATTTGGATATATTTGTATATATATACACACATATATATACACACACATACATATATTGCCTAACGAAATCTGCATCGAAGCTGCCTTAGACTAACCTTTAAGTATGTATTTAGCCTTAGGCGCAGTAGCCTAACAAGTTAGAGTTTAGCAGATAATGAAGAACACATAAAAGTTTACTGTTGAATGACCAAAGCTATTGATGGGCTACTTTAAACCACACACGTAGGCCTTTCCATTTAATTAAGGAAACTTTTAACACTTCGGCCCTACGTAATTTATCGTAAACTGTCGGCGACCTGAAACGTGTGCAACACGCGCTCGCTCGCCATATGTTGCAGGTGCACGCGCCCCCTGGCCCACAGTCCTGTGTTTCAAACTGAAATGTTTATGGCAATTTTAACGCAGACACACTGAATTACATTATAGCACAGCGTTGTTTCCCTGCAACAATTTTGTGAAAAGCCATGTCTTCCAATTGGTGAATAGGTAATGGGGAGCGTGCATTAATTTCGGGCTATTGTTGGCAGGCTCGTGGGCCGAGGTGTTGGATGGCCTCAATGAAGCACGCGCTGTCAGCTGGTGAGCGCTCGCGGGTCCCCACCGTGTCCCGGAGGACCTTACTCGAGAGGGAACACACTTTCTCAACTAAAGACAGGCCTGTGCGCGCCTTTAACACGCACACATTCACACACACACACACACACACACACACTTTTTCTTTCCTTCCTTTCTATCTCCCTGTCAACTCAAACGCTCACTGGCAACCTGTCCTGCTGCGCAAGCCGAAGTTGTTTCTTTTCCAACTTATTTGCGACTAATCTAAAGTGTGTCCAAAGCCTTGTTGACGCAGGGGCGCGATACAAAAACGGGGGGGAAAAGCAACTTCGAAATTATTAATGAAACTGCCTGAAGTAGCTGTTTGCTACCTGTCACTGTTCTGTCTCCCCACTGTGTTCAGCCAATCACAGCTCCTGCCCCTTTGCTCGCCTCCTGAAGGCAGGGAATAAAGGGAAATATAATGAGGATGCCGTGTTAAATAATTAACTGAATTTATGCAGGTATAACTTTATCCGAGTATGATCAGACAGCCATCTGCCGCAAGTTCGTGTTGCCGTGAAAGCATATCTAGTTTCAGTAAACACTTTAAAGGAATAGCCTATGGAGAACCATGACAGCTCAAATACAAGGGAGAGCATGACGATTTCGAAAGTTTTATAGTCGTTTAGGATCTCAACGAAAACGTTTGTTTGTATTTATTTAAATAAGACATGTGTGCACTATCATGCAAATATAGGTAACATGGAGCTTTGCTGAGAATGATAATGTTTAGGGTGATGACTTTAGTAACCGTTTTTTGGTTAAAGTGATTATATAACAAACAGCTCACTTTGCATTAAGGACATGCACCAAAAAATATGTTCTTGTTTTGTTTTTCCTTTGGTCTACAGTATGTGGAATAATAATCACCACTAACATGCTTTGTTTCGTTAATCAATGGTGTTTACTAAAGAAGGTGGAAGTTAAAAACAGTTTCAACAGGTGGGATGCTGGTCAGGCTGAGGTTTCAGGGTCATTAATTATTTACGCAGTATACGGACGTTATGGAAAATAACAACAGAGAGAGGGGTTAGGGGGAACCTAAGACGCACTGACGCGTGCGGATGCTTTTGTGGGTAAAATAATATACATCGAAAAGGAAAATCTACAAAACTCACCATAATTACCTGTCTGGAGGACTAAGCGTTTCCTAAGGAATTTCTCTTGATGCCAATTGTTGTAGAAAATAAAATAGTGCATCAATTCATCTAAATGTAATTCACACAATATACTAACAAAGTAAAGCCATACTAAAACTATGTGCTATGGAAAGGTGTGACAATCTTATATAGTGCCCTCAAATGCTTCAAGCCTCTGTAGTCATGCTCATTTCAATAAATACATTTAGAATATGTGAATTCCACAGCTTCCTTTTTTAATGAAAAGAAAGGCACTTGCATTTTGTATGAGATATGGGGAGGCGAGCTGTGTGCTGTCCAAAAAGCCACGGGTCTCTCAGGGGACCCAGAACAAAAGGCAGAACTGGGCATAGTCTCCATCTGCTGTCCCAAGGAGAGAGAGCGGGAGAGGGTGGCGAGTGAGGACACCATGGGTAGATAGAGACAGAATAATAAGTGAGAGGGAGGGAAAAGAGAGTAGAGACGGCAGCAACAGGAACATGCTGGGGAGTTTTGGAGATTTAAGGGTAAAGACGGATAGAGATTAGAGAATGTTCAGATATGTTTCAGTTAGGTTCAGTTCAGCCAACAGTAAGATGGTCTAAATGCTAAGAACCATGACAACCACCTTTGTTTAATCTTACCTTTAAATTAGCCTGCAGCCCTCACCTCTCATTAGCCACCACAGCCCTGTATTATCATGTACTGTAGCGTAACCTAGTGATCACACACACACACACACACACACACACACACACACACACACACACACACACACACACACACACACACACACACTGCAGCTGTGACTCAATGAGCACCTGTTGCATTGCATGCTCCAATTCAGTGATTCTTTTAATTGTTAATGAGTTTCCTTGGTAATACTTTGACTCAGTCAAACAAATTGTAGCATTTATATTTGAAAAGTTATCTCTTGTTAAAATGAAATCACTGGATAAGAAATGCTCATATTTATGTATAATAAATGTCAGCATATTTACATTAGTTATTCAGTTGTGATCTAAATTATAGGTTTAGAGTTATTGTGTTTGCAGATAGGGTTAAGAGTAAATCAACAATTAAAAGACCATCAACATAAGTGGAGACACTAAGTAAGGAAAGAAAGTTGTAAAGCAACATGAAGCAAACAGCAGAACTGTTTCATAAGATCTTAAAGGCAGTCAGCATCTCTGCAAGAAAAGTAGATCATCAGCCCATAAACAAACAACTTAGGCAGACACAATCAGATACATCATTTCATGCAAATCGAGCAATCTCTCTATAGTGAGAACATAAGATCTTAGTTCTCTAAAGCAGCGCCCAGGCAATCATCTTTAACTGACCCTTTAGTTGAGGAGTTAAACCAGGACACATACGAGGTGAACATTTAAACTGTGCCCGCAACTTGAGCATTGTGAACACTTTTAAAGGTATTATAAATGTACATAGACTGATAATACCTTTTTTCTTCAAGAATTTCAAAGAGACATAACAGTTACACTAAAATAATGAGTTAATCATTATAATAACTCTAAACCTAACGTTTATGTTTAAGCACTTTGAATCGCCATATATGCTGAAAAGTGCTATATAAATAAAATTGTCTTGCCTTGCCTAATCATTCTTTTCTAACACTGTAATTGCTCAAGAGTTTACCTTTCTTAAAAGAAAAACATGCACACTGACTTCTTAAAAAAACACCTTAGTAAAGGAACTTGTTTAACTTTAGTGAGGAGGACTAGATTGGTATTGGTTGTTCAACTTAAAGAACAACTAAATAATTTCTAACAACCAAATATTCTCAATTGAAATATAATATGCGTTGCAATTTATAATTTTTCAGTTTTATTTCCTTAAACTTCAATGGGAGTTGTTTAAACCATGCAAAACAATTGCTTTAAAAAGACCAAGTGCTTTAAACATCTATTACACATTAATGGAAAAAAAGGTTAATTTCTCCTTAGATAATCCCATATAAAAGTAGACATACAAAAATGAACTAGTGACACAATTCAATGTTTGCTTATTTGCCTTTTATTTGTTCTAGTGTAATGAAAAACTGATGTTGCTCATCATGCACAAGTGTTTGCAGTTTTTGAGGCAAAGTGTAAAGCATATGACAGCCCAAAGAAAAAGCACTTGAGGTTGGTTTTGGAGGTTGTCTATTACAATAACGGCGAAGGGTCAAGGTGGAAAGGATTTGGGGAGAAGCTCATCTCCACTGATTACAGTTTGCATCCCAGCAGCCCAGGCCTTATCACTGTCAGAATCCTGTATAAAACCAAACAAGTAAAACATTACAATTGTGTATTCACTTTGATCGCACCTGTGGAATTAGTAGGACCAAAAGTTGTCCAGTAAAGAGCATTTAAAAAATATGTCTTTCTCACATGCAATGTATTTGCTGTCCTCACTATCTTGTATGTATATAAGCCCTTGAGCATAATTCACATTCTCATGTCTGATAAACCGCTAATGTGCTAGTGTGTAAACACACATACTATAATGATGGACAGATGACGACACATTAACATATACTAAATAGTTACATTGGGTTTTTAGCACCTGGCTGATAAGGACACAAGCGCTTACTGGTAATGATTGTATAAAAGCAAGGGTGATCAATAAACAGATACCA